ATCCAGATATTTGTCTTTAATGGCAGAAAGCTAAGCTAGCTAGGATTTGATATTTTCCAGATTAATAAATACTCTCCACTTCTTTTACTTTCTGACACACCATCACCGTTACCGTCATCTTACTTGCAACACTTCTCTTCTCTATACTAACTTTCTGACACACCATCACCGTCAGTGTCATCTTACTTGCAACACTTTTTTTTTTTTTTACCTCTTCTCTTCACTATCCTAAATACTTATCTCCTTTTAATATGGTCCCTAAGAGCATCCACATCAGTGGATATTATGGAGATAATGTCAGATGAATTATTTTGGGTGGGAATAATAACAGATGTGGGGTGGGGTTATTTATCAAAATATTTGTTCTGCAAAATTGGGGATAATGCAGAAAAAGAAGAAAAGGAAAGAGAAGAAAAAGGAGGCTGCTGTGCCCGTTTGCACGCGCCCGTGGGCGCGTCATGCGCGCCTGACCCTTTACTTTTTTTTTTTTTTTTTGTTTTTTAATTTTTGATTTTGATTTTTTTATTTTTTTTTCCTCCCCTTCCCACATTCTCTCTCCTAATCACTCTTACATTATCTCTCAATTCTCCTCAACCATTGTGGATGCTCTAATAATATATTGGGAGTGTTATATATTATGGAGTATATATTATGCCTTTAATTAAATGGCATAAGTTGACTGCTTATTAAGTATTAAGTATAAAACAAATATGAGTAATGGTATACCCACTACTGGAAATTATGGAATTTTCGACCATCTGAAAGTGATCTTAAATCAAGTTGAAAGCCTTGTTCCGACCACTTTTGATATCCGGAAAAATCATTGTTCCTATTTCCGACCACTTTTTAGTATCAACTTGATTTAAGATCACTTTCAGGTGGTCGAAAATTTTATAATTTCCAGTAGTGACCGTTAAACAAAATAACTCAATATATAAGAACACCAGTGGTTGGAAATCAATATTGTTTTTGCTTCCACTTTTGTTTACTTTAATTCTTTGTTTTAAAAACAAAAACAAAGAACACGGGAGGCATTGAGTTGGTTCAAGAACACGGGGCTTAGGGAGGTTGATGTGGAGACGGATTCACAACTTTTGTATAATGCCCTTATTGAACCTCCTTTTTATTCTGCTTTTTGTTTAATTGTTGGTGATTTAAAAGAATTAGCATCATCTATTATGGATGTTGATTTTAGTTTTATCAAGCGATCTGCGAATCGTGTCGCCCACACTGTTGCTAGGGAGGCCGTTTCTGAGTCAGGTTGCGGGGAGTGGCTTGATGTGCCACCCCTTTTCTTGTTCATTGTCTTGCGATTTAATGAATTAAACTTTTATCATAAAAAAAGATTGAGAATAAAAACTTGTTACCAATATTTATTTTTAAAATTTATTCTCCACTTACTAAATTATATATATATATATATATATATATATATATATATATATATATATATATATATATATATATATATATATATATATCTAGTTATTTCGTCTTCGTAACAAAATGTGATTACAAAACATTACAAATAAAATTAAGTACACCATTAATGATCATAATTTGCTCAGTGCTCGTGATGTCCTCACACAACTGTGGCACTTGGCATTGATGACTAGCTCATATCTAAATTGTATGATATCATTTCTACCTTCACTAGTGTGAAGTTATTTATCTAAGCAAATACACAGTCATTAATATATTACACACTAGCAATTAATATGGACAACAATAACATAATACATAACCAAGCAATAAACAGCTAGAAAGTTCTTCATTCCATATCACTATATCAACAAATTAAACCAACAATAAGAACAAGCGGAGCAGATTAACTTAATCCACCACATCCTCAATCCAAAAAGAAGGATAAATTATTTACAGTACTAAAGTTAAATATACAGAATGAAAACATGAATTGATGCAAATCTGTCAATTTGTCTCCATATATATAAAGTTCTTCACTTTATCAACAAATCAAACCAGCAGTAAGAGCTCTCAGTTCCTTCTTTAGTGTGTTTTGCAGCCACTCCTAGCTGAGTTCATGATGAAAATAAGAGCCACATTAATTTACATTATGCAATAAAATTTTTTAACACAACAAGCTTTTTAAACAAATTAAACCAGCAGTAAAATTTACTTTGTGATAACACAAGCATTTTGCCCTTTTTGAGCTGAAACAATGAAACACAAATCACTAAAGTAGGAAAAATTGTCTGCATTCAGTGAATTTTCAACAAAAATTCAGATTCAAATTGCAAAGAAAATCCTTAAATTGAATAATTGATCCATGTTGCCATGTATGAAGTATCATTTTCTGGACTTCCATCCTCTTCTTCCCTTTTTTTTTTTTTTTTTAACTTGCAACAAAAAGCCATGAGACTTTCATTCTATTAGCATATATACATCAACCATTCAATGGAATACCTGAACCAATTTTCTAATAGTATCTCATTCTTGTGTTCTAATGACACCAAGTTGCTCTTTCATAGGAAAAGTTGTGTATTCGAGCCTCAGTGAAGTGATATTAACTCTTTGTGCTTTATTTGGTTGAGAAAGTAGTTGTAACCAGATTTACTCATTCTTGAAAATTTGAAATTTAATAAATATTTTATTCTCTGATTATTGTTAATTGACTAGGAAATATTTATCCAATTCGGTAACTATTGCAAACTGAAATTGTGCAGAAGCATACTTTGTATAGCTTGTGGCCCATCCCATTTCACATTTAACTCATCCAGTCAAAACAAGAATAAATTTGTTTTGGGGTGTTTTATATATATATATATATATATATATATATATATATATATATTTTAAATTCATTTACAGAGTCGAGAAGAGATGAAGAGGCGTCCCTCTTCTCGGCGCAACCTCGCCTTCCTCGCCACGACGCCTCCAGCGCAACCGCGACACTGCCCACCACGACGCCACCGCTCGCCACCTCCAGCGCAACCGCGACACTGCCCACCACTCGCCACCAGCAGCGCCGGTGCGCCACCGCTCACCACTCGCCGGATTCTTCTGCTTCATGCCACACGGCCCACACCGTTGCTTCGCAAATCGCAACTACCAGGTTCAACTCGTCTTCTCAATTCTCAAACTTCTCACCCTCCGTTCAATACTTTAATTTGTTTGCTTAATTTTCATCTGCTCACTGCCTATCACCTAATTTTGCCATAATTTGATTGTCTTAAATCCTAATTTGCCCTAATTTTCTTTGTTGAATTGGCGAATTGCAGAGTTAGCTATGGTGTATTACCGTATTGGCTTAGGTTTAATAAGAATTATGTGGTTTAATTTGCAGTGTTGATTGTTAGGCAAAATAGACATTTACTCACTCAACATAATTCCGTGACTCTGTGAGGCAAAATAGGCAAAATAGGCATTTTGTTGGTTGCTTGGCAATTGGCATAATGTGAAATTATGTGAATTATATATGTCGAAGCTGACATTTAGGCATTTAGCTGTTAGGCCTTTAGCTTGGAATTAATTGAATTATGTTGCCTCTTGGCTGTTACTCATTCAACATAATTCTGTGAGGAAATGAGGAATTATATGTTATTATGTTAATATGTTATGTTAGGCATTTGTCATAAATAATGTTAGGCATTTGTCATGAATAATGAATTATATGTTAATATGTTATTTGTTTGTTGGAAATTTGGTGGAAACGGGAAGATATTTGGACTATACGTTGGTGTATTTGCTTCTAAAGTTGTCTTTGATCCTACCGGTTGCAACGGCTAGTGTGGAAAGAGCATTTTCTGCTATGAAGTTAATCAAGACACCTTTATTGAATGTATTATATGCATCATTAATTCATTATCAAAAATAATTTGCTTTATAACATATTTTTATTCAAGTAATAGATGTATCCGCATCAGACTTGTCCTCGAGAAAATGGTAATTCAGAATTTACTATATACTACTTTTAAGTAGGTCCTTTTTACTTAAATTGTATGTGAATTGCTTTATCTCTAAACTAGACATCTTAAATCTTGAAAATGATAAGGTTCTGGTTCTTTTGTATTTTAACTATATTATCTGTATCTTTACTTCTTTGTCCCCATTGAAGAAAAATTCTGGGTCCGCCACTGCCGTTAAGGTATTTTTTAAATTAGCTAGGTAGATCACCTATTTCTTCCCTACCAGGAAGCACATAGCAACACCTATTTTTTCCCTTCATTTGGGTTGATTGAGAGTGTGAATAACATGACATTGTAAACATACACAAGAGGAATTTATTCAAATGAAACACCTTTAATTTTATGCTATTTCGATAACAGAAATTTCTCTTCTTCCGTCCCTTTTTAAAAATTTATAAAGACAAAAAAAAATAACACATTTTCTTCATGAGTTATATACTTATAGTACTTTTTTCCTTAAAATTATTCAAGTGGTTATTTTTCTCCCTAAAATATTAAATGGACATATTTACCCTTAAAATAAAATTTTCATTTATTTTTCTTCTCCAACAAATTATGATCACGATTTGTTTCAAACTGGACAGACACTATAGCAATCAAACTGAAATATTCCAATTATAATTTAGAATCGAAACCTAATATTTAGAGTTTATTAAAATTGCAAATCGAAATGCCTGGTTCATGCATGTTTCGAACTGACAAAGAAAATACATTTATTGTTAAATTTAGAGTATTTTTTTTAAAATAAATTTTAATAAACTAAAATTCAAATATTGGGTTCTGGATCTGAATCATAACCGGAAATTAAGTATGCATAAGTTGTTTATTTAAGACAATAGATAGAGAGAAAACTTAAAGATAAGCAAAACAACTCGGACTAATTATTTTGAGGTTCTCCTTCTTCTTCTGCGAGGTTAGGATCGAAGAAACCCGAGTAGTAATTTTCTCATGCAAAATAAATATAAATATATAAATTAAAAAACGAGTGGTACCTAATTATCTCAAATATTTATTTATTTATTTATTAATTTAAGATGAAGAGTGAGTCTCGCATTTTTAAATACTGCTATAAATAGAGGGTTCATTTTATTATCTCATAAACAGAGAACAAACAAATAAAAATTAAAAAGAAAAAAATTAATCGATCAAATTAAAGCACAGATCGAAAAAATATAATGGCCGTCGCTGAGACGAAATTGGTTGCAGTGTTTGTGGTATGCATGGTGGTCCTGTCCGCCGTGAACGACGGCGTTTCCAAGGCGGAAGCCGGCAGCGAGGCGCCAGCTGGCAGCCCGGCGGAAGCCGGCGGCGAAACCAATCTGTACAAGGATTGTTACGAGACGTGCATGAAGAGCTGCACGAAAGACTGCAAGACGAAGTGTGACACTGAGTGCAAGGACACAGAGGCCAAACTGAAAAGCGTTGAAGGTTAGATGATGATAGGCATCTGATCTGAGGTGAATTGAATAATAATGTAGTTATTTAGTCGAATAAATTCTTCTTTTTTTTTAAATTTTTTTAAATTATTAATTACCTATATATATTGTACTGCATGTAATTGAATGTTATTCATTCATTAATACTCCCTAATGAGTTACTCATTTAATTAAAAAAAAAAATTACATATTAAAATTCTTGGCATTCGATCACCATTGAAGAATATACTTTGTACTAAGATCAAATTTGAGGATCAAATCACTCGAATTTTGAAGGTCCTTTTATGGAGTGAGACATTCAATTATCCTTTTATAAAGGAACCATGTTTAAAATGTAAGTACATTTTTTTTTTTTTTTGATAAGAAATAATCAGGCATATGGCTATATATTCCTCTTAGACTTATTGCATCATCTTCAAAATATATTTTTATGTGTAAGGCTTCATAAATCCAACCAAGGGATCCGTTTTTGCCAGAGGTCCTTCTGTGTAACAAAGGATGTGTAGTCTAGTGGTTGGTGCGGTCTGCCCGTGAGGTTGGTGCGGTTTAAATGTGCCACACAATGTTTGAAAATGCACCAGAATGAAAATGCACTCCACAGTGTTTGAAAATTGCACCACAAAATTGCACCACAAATAATGATATATTTTCATACACTTTGTGCATTTATGCCAACCTAATAATGTTACAATTAGGGATGTCAATCGGATCAATCTTTTTGTTTTGGGCGGTTAGGCTTATCGATTTGGTTTAAACTTCATAGCCCAAATTCTAAAATCTTGGTTTGTCGGGTTTTTGAGCCGGTTCAACTAAAAGTTTTGACATTAAACTTTTAATTTTAATAACTTAGCGCATATATACTAACAAATATTAACTTGTACATCATTTAATCAACCTAAACCTTCACTCCCAAATTTCAACTAAAAATAATTACTATATTTACATGTACTATAATATAATAATTATAATATATTTTTTTAAAATTTTTCATTAGTTATTTTCATAAAAATATTTTATTCTGTAATAAATTTATTGATATATTTATTAAAATTTTATTTTAAACTTAATACAAATATTAAAGATGAGCTTACATATAAACTCTTGTATATTTTGTTTTATATCACTTCTAAAACAAAAAATAGTAGTGATAGAGGTAGCCACGTGTCGGTTCAAAGTCGAACCAATCTTGAACCGGCTCGGAAAAAAGTGGGCATGGGCCTCATTGGGTTTGAGCCGGGCTTGCCTCGAATTGGAATTGTTAAGGGCCGGTTCAGGTCTTTTTTTAAAAAAATTCGGGGCCTAGCATGGAACTGGCCCATGGAAGGCCCGAGCACAGTCCAGGCACGGGCTCGGCTCGGGCAAACACAACCAATTTATCCCTATAAATACCCTTATCCAATTTATTTTTATCACACAAAAATTCTTAATCCTACACTCTCTTAGTTCTACTCACAACAATTCTTCATAAATTAAAAGCAAATCCAATTTAAAAGTCTCTTATAAATTTTTAATTTATCACTCTAACATAATTTAGTGAGTAAAAATTAAATGAACTTTATAAACTATACTATATTTTATATCAAATAATATCAAGTCTTATATAAAGTTTTAATAGTACAAGACTACAAGTATAAATGTATTTAACGTCATTTATAAATTTTAGTTTAGTAGAAAATCATGTTAATTTTAGATTTTGAGATTAATAATTAAAATATTATTTTTAACAAAAAAATATTAATTTTAGAAAAGTGTGTGACTCTGTGTGTGCGCGCGTGTGTGTTATTATTGTATCAAGAGGTTGAAGTAGCTTAATTGGAAAGAACTTAAATTAGTTACTAGGGTTTAAATCTTTATTTCAAACAAAATATATCAATTTATAAAAAAAATTATATATTTAAAAAATATAACAAGTTACGGGTCTAGCTTGGGATCGGCCCACAAGAAGCCCGGGCCTAGGCCCGGACTAGTAGTACAATCCTTAATGATTGTTTCATCATTAGCATCCACATTTTGCAGGTTATCTACAATAACTATAGGGTTAGGGATTCACAGGAAGGAAAATTGAACACATGAATTTTGCAAGTGGTAAATGAAAGAGGATGAAGTCTTGTAATTATCAAAATGTCTTTCGATTTTATAGTCATTGAATGAAAATTCAAACGGAGGACTACATTGAGCAATAACACAAGTTTGAGATTAAATTAGGCCATAAAAGTCATTTAGAACGAAATTAAGAAAAACCAGCGTAGGATCATTTGGGTATTAACTCATTTAAAATCATTAAGTGTCCTACCTACTAGTCGGCACCAGATGACGAAAGCCTATAGCTAAAGTGTTAAATTGTTGTTGCTATCGCAGATGAAGACCTATTGTTGGTTTTAATGATCACCGGAGTAGTTAAGCGGAGGGCCAACACAACTAGAAAACTTAAGACAATGGTTGTCGGAAAAATAACCTTTTTGTTTGCTCTTGTGTGCATGTGTAAAGCTTAACATTTTTCAAAGTATACAAGACCTATTTATACAAAAACTAAGGGACCCAAACTAGGCAACTCTATCTTGTCATAAATGCAGTCGATCTTCCTTTATACCACTAATTCTCTTTCCTAAATACAATTGATCTTATTTCCTTATAGCCTTTGCATTTCCCACCGCCTTCCGCGAGATCCGCTCCTCAAATCTTCTATGGATTCCGTCGTATCTTCTCCACCTGTCCGTATCCGCCTAGCTGTCCATAAGCAATGTTTAGCTGAGGAACTCGTACTGCCTCGCGTACGCCAGTCCGTTTTTCCCAGTGCTCATTAGAACATCTCATACTGCCTCAGGGACGGTCGTCCCTAAGAGCGTCCCTCTGTGCTCTGTTCACTATTTAGACACGATTTTTGTCATTACTACATGGTTTTCGACCATGTTCGAACCATATTCATTTTTTCCACTTCCTTTCATATTTTTAAGTTAGATTAGGCTTAGATTTAAGTTCATTAACATATTTCAAGCTTGTATTGAAGGATATACACTTGGATTTCAAGATTCTACCATCAATTCAATAGAGAAGCTTATTTTCCCTTTTATCTCTTTATCTTGCAATGTTTATGTTTTACATTTATGTTTTTGTGTTCTTTATGCTATTGAATATTGAGTAGTTAGTTTATGGACTTTAGTTAGGGTTGTATTATGTATCTTTAATGGTGACCATTGCGTGTGGGAGTAGAATACTTACCCCAAAGATCAACATGAATAAGTTCAAAGCATGCATTAGTAGAAGTATGACTAATAGAAAATGGTAGACGCGTTTGTTTGGACATATGACAAATATGACAAAGTTCATGAAAGTCAGAACAATTTAATATAAAAGATAAATGCTTAAAAACACTAGGTGATGGGTGGCCAAATCTAGAGTGCCAAGTGGCAGGTGTAGTAGAGATTAATGCAGTTGATGAAGGGGGATGAAAAAAATATAGGTCGTTGCGTTCATAGCTGTAACACCCTGTGTTACGGCCTTTAATTCCGGATTAATTATTTAATTAGTCCCGTTAATAATAATTAAATATGATTTAATTTGGTTAGGTTTCCCTTTAATTAATTAATGAGGTCCACCATGGATCGTGGACCCTTGCCTAAACTAGAGTTTTAAGCCTATTAGGAATAAAAAAGAGTAAACATTTTACTATTCAGATTCTAATTAGGAATCCTAGACCCATACATCTATTAGGAATAAAGAAAGTGGGCATTTACTATTCAGATTAGGATTAGGATTCTTGATTCTATAAATAGGGGATTAGAAAGCAATTAGAACCCTCACCACTCATAGTTATATTACACAAAAATATTCCCGGGAGATCCTTTAATATGCATTCCTATGCTTGTGTCTTGATAAATCTTTTATGATGATTATGATGCGATCTTGATGTTGATGAGATGATTTTATGTGTTGATCTTGATAATCTTGATGATTATGAGAGGATCGTGATAATTGTGTGTTGTTCTTGATAAATCTTGATGTTCTTGGTTTTAAAGATAAAGTCTGATTTTGTGATTTAAATACGATTAGAGCCCTAGGTTGAATCATGAATTTCGTGTTGTGATATTCTTGGTATATTTGGGTGGGATTTCGCATGTTCGAGCGTTGATTATGTTTATAAGTCATGTTAGGTTGTATTCAATATGATTCTTGGTTTTGATCCATTACTTGACTACTTGGCGTCGTCGTTTGCGTTTAAAAGTGTCTAAACATGGTTTCGGGTTTCACGAAAGATCCCGGGACCGAAATATTACAAAAGAGTCAGTGGGGGGTAGGGGAACCCGCCACCTACCCGCTGCCCCTAAAGGGCATCACCGCCAGCAGGTAGGCGACTGCTCGCCGGGCACCCGTTGCCCAGCACCCGCCGGCCACCCGCTGGAAATTCCCAATGTGGGATGGTGGTTTCCCCGTTTGATGTTTCCCCGACCCCCGAGGTGTCCCAACGGACCCCGTTTGTCGTGCATATGTCTAGTTTGATGTTTCGGGTACCATTCGTAGGATAAAAGAGTCTTGTGTATTGCATGCTAGTTGAATTGGTATTCCGTTGGCCTAGGTGAAAGATGTATGAACCCCTTAGGAATATTCCTAGTATGTGGATGACCACGCATAAGTTTATTCATACGTTTTCTCCCCCTTCCCAATGTGCTAATGTGGGTTGCATGTGCTTGCTATGCGTTATGTGTGCATGATACCCCAATTTGGTTGCGATCAAATTGGCTATACGGGCAGTTGGATGGGTTGTGAACCATCGGCTGTTAACCAGGCCGGTTGCGATCGGTCAGGTATATAAATATTATATAGGGCTGCGGTCCACCGTTTGGTTGCGTTCAAACGTTATAAATGAGCTGCGGTTCATAATCTGGTTGCGATCAGAAATACACTTTTGGGCTGCGGTCCACCATTTGGTTGCGATCAACCCCTTCGTGTTGCGATATGAGGCAGGGTGCTGCGGGGCCGTGTTAGCGCTATATGCGCTGACCCTCATGTATGGGCATGCGATTGGTACTGTGGCGCCACCAAAGTGTGCTTATGTGTTGAGATAATGATTGAATAATGATATGAATGATGTGAAATAATCTTGTGACCTTAGGGTATATGCTAGTATCTTTATTTGAATGATTATAACTGTTGAATGTGATTGTCCCTACTTGTTGAGTCTATTCCCGGTTTTAAAGCTAGAGTCTCCTAAGTATATATCTTCCTGCTTCAAAATGGTTTTCCTATATATATATACTAGTTTTTTTACGCACATTGCGCGATTGAGATAATGCCCAATGTTTTTTTTTTTTTTTTTTAAATGAGTACTATAAAATATATTAATGCAAGATTATATTGAAATTGTTCATGCATAGATAATTGAATGTTGAATTTGCGTATTTAAATAGGTAATTCTAAGTTTACAAATGTAAGATAATATAGTCAAGATTGATTATAATTGTCAATAAAATAATTGTATGGATATGGTTGAAACCAAATATGGAAAATAAGGGAGAGCAAATAAAAATTAGGGCATAAAATATTAAATATATACTAATATTGAAAATCTAACTGCTGATTGTCAAACAAGGACATTGCGATGATAGTTTTCAACTTCAATTTGTTGTGTGATTTGAATACTCTTTTTGTCAATAAATCCCCAAAGTAGTTAATATCATTGGCTTAATTATACTTTTTTTAATAAAAATTATTATTATTATTATTATTATTATTATTATTATTATTATTATTATTATTATTATTATTATTATTATTATTATTATTATTATTATTATTATTATTATTATTATTATTATTATTATTATTATTATTATTATTATATGTATACCCTTAGGTCATTTTACATGTTAATCTAAACGGCTAATTTTTTCAAATATCTTTTTACCAACCGTTGATATAATTTGCTGGTCAAATCCGCTAACGCTAACTGCTGATTATCAAACAAGGACAATGCGATGTAGTTCTTACTTCAATTTGTTGTGTGATTTGAATAGTCTCTTTGTCAACAAATTTCTCAAGTAGTTAATATGACTGACTTTATTAATTATGTTTTTTTTTTAATTTTTAATTTTTTCATGATATTAATAAAATACTTGGTAAATAAATATATAACATTATTTTGTATTATAACTTTGATATTTAATTAAAAAATTATGCACAAAAAAGATAACAGACAATGTAGTAATATAATTAATTGATTAATTTGAATGTAAAGAATTTTTGCATTGGAGAAAAATAAAGACAATATAACCAATGAAATTATTTCTCTTTTTTTAATTTATTGATAATGAATAATTATTTTTGAATAAAGACATTGTACACACATAATTCTAAATTAAAGAAATGCATATGTATTATTTTTTGTTGTAGCTACTAAATTATTAATTAATTTAATAAGAGTAAAATAGAGTACTAATTATGCAAACTTTAATTTAATTGGGATGAGGTTCGAACCTGAGACCTTTCTTATTAAAATCAATGAGTAAGTTAACGGTGAACTAACAGAAACTAACGGAAAAAATAATATTTAACGGAAAAGTTAACGGATAATCATATTCATTAAGTATAAATTAGGAAATCTTAAGGAAAAATTAATATCTGATCAATCTGAGCCATTCATTTGATTAAAAAATTTGACCGCCATTTTTTCTACCCATTATAGGCCTAACTCTCTTGGGCTCTTATTAGTATATATATATATATATATATATATATATCTTCTTTATTATATATAATAAAGCAGAATCCTATGGCCACAATTTTTTGGCTCCAATTCCCGCCAAGAAAAAACGGTGACGTTTTAGTTGTTAAGAATTTGGCTGCGTTTATGAGACTTATTGTATTAATAAATGTGACTGACTTTTGAGAATCATTCAATCAGTTAGGAGTTCCTTTGTTATCTAAAACGAAAGCATTAAATAACAGCTATATACACTACTTTCATTCTACCTATAAATACAGATTGAAGCATAAATCTCGGATAACAATTACAAATTTTAGAGATTGATTAGAATACAAATACATTTCTGAGATATACACACTTAAAAAATCATGCCACCAATTTCCAGGCCAGTGAAGTGACCCCTTTGAAAACCACCAGTGCTATGAAGCTGCGTTGTGTATTGAAGGAGTCAATTTGGCGAGGCTTTGAGGAGTCTGTTTTTCATGCTAGAGAACAGCATAAACTCTCTGAGGCTGCAATTTATGGAGAAACAGGAGCTCCGGCAGGACTACAACTGAATAAGGGCATCTCATTTTCAGATATAATAGCGGGTAAGCCTTCCAGGTTAATTCTGATTGAATAGTGAATGAATGTGTTAACTCAGTCTGTGCACCAATCGATTGTATAAATGGGAATGAGAATTTCTTCCACTTCTAATTCTGATTGAATAGTGAATGAATGTGTTAACGCAGTCTGTGCACCAATTGATTGTATATATAAATGGGAATGGGAATTTGGGTGTATCATTGCCTGAATCTGGAAAACCTAACAATAAAAATTCATACCTGCAAAGTGCAAACTGTTTGTGAAAATGTCAAGGTGAATTCTAGAAATAATTTGGTCAAGGAAGGGAGGATGCTACAATTAACAAAGAAGCGTGGTCACAATTTGCAAGAGGAAACACATTGCTCCAAATAGAGGTAAAATCCAAATGCATAACTAATTTGAATCCTTTAATTCAACTAATACGTTTGTGTTTATGTTAGTGTTCTCTTATCTGTGTAGTGTTAATTTCAATCCTTCTGCCCAATTGTATACTCTATGCCCATCACCAATTGAAGTCCTTAAACTGTCAAAATATAGTTGGTGTATTTCAGTTGAAAAATTATGAGTATACAATTGGCTCACATATGGATCACACAAAGGTAATCCCTCTTCTAATTTCTACTGCACTTCTTATGATGTATAAAATCTCACAGATAACAGTTTTAAATTATAGCACATATAGAAAGAATTTATCTACAGGTTAGGTCATTAAGCTTACATACAAGTTGAATTTCAGATTATCAATATACAAAATCTATATCTATCTTCAAGTAGAAATCAGACAAAAAAATATTAAAAAAAAAAACTGTTATCTAACTAAGGTATTTGAGATGCTGTATACTGAAATTTGGGTTAACTAATGCAAAATTTTAACATAACATTTAAGGATCTTAAAAAAGCAGTATACATACATGCATGTTAAAATCTTACAGTAAATATAACATACTGAAATAATTAAGACCCGATTCTGTAGAAGATTTCTTCTAAAAACAAAAATTTTATCATGTTCAAGTAAACGGTTACCATAAAAAATGGTTGTAGACTACCGCTTTTGGTAAATTGACGAAGAGCTCTTCTCAGTACATATGCCGGCAACACCTGCGGCTGAAAAATCACGGTTAGAACAAAAAAATAGCAACGATCAAACATAAGAAACACAGATCTAGCTTAGAAGAACACCAATATTGCTTTGAAACAACCGATTCGTGAAGATGTGGAGATAAGAGAGATGTGGAGGTATGAGGGATGTCGGAAAACAAAGGGGATAAGAAGTTTATAGAGAGAGACAGAGCACCACCGGTGTGTTGATGGTGCCTTTGACTCTTTATAGAGAGAGACAGAGCACCACTAGATCTATAAGAGAAATGCATCAAAAAACCAACTACCCTCATGCATGATCATGATCAAGATCTAGGATTTCAACTTGATCTATCGCCATTTTGTTACTCTACAGAATAAAATAAAATTTGCAAATCTGGAAATATACTACTGTAATAAATGTAAATATAAAACATTCGAATATCAATAAATCCAGATATGTAAAAAGATATGCACAAATTATAGTATATGTCACTCTGCATGATAGGAAATCAACAAGATCATTTCCGAAATCTCTAAAAATGTAAAGATCAAATGGACTATCCTCTTCTCAATCCTAAGATTAAGACCATCTCCAAAGGCAGCGCCATTGCGCCAAAACACCAAAAAAAATGCTCCAACCCAGCGCCATTTCACCAAATTTTTGGCGCACTGTGAACAGTGCTGCGCCATATTTGGCGCAGCGCAGCACTGTGAACAGTGCGCCAAAGCGCTATATATATATATATATATTTTTTTTTTTCATTTTAACCCCTCTTGTTTGTTTAATTCCATTTGTGTTTTGTTTTTTTGTTTTAATATATTTGTATATTTTGTTAAATTGTTAACTATAAATTTTATATTATTTAAAATGAATTATATCATTTGAAAGATCTCATCAAGACGATTAAAATAAGTCTAATATTGAACATAGATTAATTAAAAATGAAAACACATAAAGCTTAATTATAACAAAATTAAAGGAAATTACATACTTAATTTAAAGCTAACACATAAAAACTTAATTAAAATTACTTTAAACATACTTAATTTAAAACAAACACATAGAACTTAATTAAAACTACTTTAAACATACTTAATTCAATAATCTCCTAGGCCAGCATCATTTCCTCCCAAATGATTAAAATATTGAGTAAACGGACTGCTTGATTCTTCTCCTCCAAGTGGTTGACGAGCTCTCTTTGCATGAATTTGTAATTGTGTATTTTTAAGCCAATCACGCCTTATTGGATTTGTGATGGAATCAACATCTATGCTCATGATTCTGTTATCTTCCTGCTGTTCCGCCAACTGTAGTTGCTTTGCTTCATTTTGAAATTTTATCGTTTCATTTGGAGCTTTTATCATTTGAAGCTCATAATTTTTTTGGAGTTGAGTTTGACTTTGTTCGAACATTTGTGCGATCTTTTCATTATGTTCTGTGACTTTGGCAAAATAATCATGACATTCTGCAAATGCTTGCTTCTTCTTTTTTTCCTTGTTACGCCCGGTAGGACGTTCATTGTTCAAGCCCTGACTTTCGAAATCATCTTCTAAGTTAAGGCAAAACGATGATGAACCTATTGACTTATCGCCTTGTGACTCTGCACCTTCAATGTCAGAACTTCGCTTTCGACTTGCAACACTTGGTTCTCTACCCGAAGGACTTTGAAATTTCTCCAAGTCTTTAACAATAGGCCATACATGATCAAATTTAAAACCATTTTTAAATTTGGCATCTTGTTCCATTAGTGCTTTTGCCCTATTAATCTGTTATAAACCACAATTAAAGTAAGTAAATAATACAAACATTCAAAGTATTCACAATTTATATATAAACACAAAATACTCACAATGTCTGTTTCTGAAGCTCCACTCGGATTCAAGTTCTCAACCTGTACAATACATCCTCTGAATTTGGCGACAACTTTCATTATAGTTTGCATCCGGGACGTAATTGACCTCAATGATCGAGTGCTTCCAACATTTGCTGGTAGCGCTTCATGATAAGCATTCATAATACGAGTCCAAAATACGTCCCTAGCTTGATGATGACCCGTAGCTTTATCTTGGCAAATATTAACATACACATGACAAAGGAGTTTATCTTCCTCAATAGAGTATGAACTAGTTCGAATTGTGCGTGCCTTGGACATTTTTTAAAAGAGGATGGAGAGGAATATAGAATAGAGAATTCAAAGAGCCATGAGTTATATGAATAGAGAATTCAAAGAGTTGTGGTTTCTGATTTGGTGGTGTACTATTATATAGAGTGAAAGCAAAAATCAATTAATGGCTAAGATGGTTGTGATATAATTCTACGGTTGAAAACAATTGCTTTTGGGATTTGGGAAAGATATCATGTCAGATCTTGGATTGTGTGTTGGAAGTATATGAATACCAATTAATGGCTAAGATGGTTGTGATATAATCCTACGGTTGAAAACAATTGCTTTTGGGATTTGGGAAAGATATCATGTCAGATCTTGGATTGTGTGTTGGAAGTATATGAATACCAATTAATGGCTAAGATGGTTGTGATATAATCCTACGGTTGAAAACAGTTGCTTTTGGGATTTGGGAAAGATATCATATCAGATATATAAATACATGGCATACACACTTATCTTTCACCATAGCAATCCTGAGATATGAATCCCTCACACCCCTTTTCATCATCACCCCAACACCCATCTTCATCCTCGCAAGAGGATGACGATGATCTCATTGCTACAATACAATCACAACAACAAGCACTACTAAGTACGTATGCTAACAACAATGCTGCCATGGCTTACTGTTTGGAGATTATGTCTACTCAAGCCATCAACCCAAGTCATGGCGGTTCAATTTCTGGGCATAGAGTGATTCACCGTGACCGTGAAGATGGTGATCGAAGATTACATGCTGATTATTTTTCAGAAAATCCAAAATATAATGAGGCAATATTTCGTAGACGATTTCGAATGAGTCGAAATTTGTTCTTACGAATTGCCAATGCTGTTGCAGAGCACAACAATTACTTTGTGCAACGGAGAGATACAATCGGTAGACTAGGCTTGTCTACTTTACAAAAAGTAACAGCAGCATTTCGAATTTTGGCATATGGAGTAGCAGCAGATGCAACCGATGAATACATCCAAATTGGAGAATCAACAGCAATTGAAAGTTTGAAGAGATTTTGCAGAGCGGTCGTAGAGGTCTTTGGACAACGCTATCTAAGAGCGCCAGATGCTAATGATGTTGCAAGGTTGCTTGAAATTGGTGAGAGGCGTGGCTTTCCAGGGATGCTTGGGAGTTTAGACTGCATGCATTGGACTTGGAAAAACTGTCCAACAGCTTGGGCCGGACAATATGCTGGGCGTAGTCGAGAACCAACTATTGTTCTCGAGGCCGTAGCTGATTATGATTTGTGGATTTGGCATGCACATTTTGGTTTGCCGGGGTCGAATAATGATATTAATGTGTTGGAGGCATCACATTTGTTTGCAAACATTGCAAATGGTACGGCACCTCCTGCTCATTATGTTATTCAAGGGAAAGTGTACGATACAGGATATTATTTAGCTGATGGGATATATCCGAAATGGTCAACCCTGGTGCAAACTATTCATCAGCCCCTAGGACCAAAGAAAAAGTTATTTGCAATGATGCAAGAAGCATGTAGAAAGGATGTAGAACGTGCATTTGGGGTCCTTCAATCAAGATTTGCAATAGTCAAGGGACCAGTACGTTTTTGGGATAAACATGTATTGCATGATATAATGACATCATGCATCATAATGCATAATATGATAATTGAAGATGAACGTGATGAGCAAGTCGATATACAAAGTTGGAGAGAAGCACCGGGTCCTGAGGTTGATATATGTAGAGATGAAAGAATTGTCTTTGAAGAGTTTCTTGCTCGACATAGGCAAATCAAAAATAAAGAAGCGCATTATGCGCTTCGTGATGCATTGATCGAGCATATGTGGGAACATTATGGTAATTCTAATAATTAAATGTAGCGGGTGTTATTTATTATTGTGGAATAAAATAATATTTGCATTATAATTATATTGTATCATATAAACATAAAATTAAAGATAAATTGTATATTATTAAAATAAAATTATATCATTTTAAAGATCTTATCAAGAAGACGATTAAAATAAAATTAATATTAAATATAATTTAATTAAAAATAAAATATATAATATATAATATAATTAAAGTCTAATTTATTAAATTACAACTATTAGTTTTGTTAAAAGAATAAAAGTATAAATATAAACTTTATGAGGGGTGTAGGAATAAAATTTGGTGCAGAATTTGGTGTAATGGGTTGGAGATGAAAAAAATTTGGTGTAAGAATATGCTGGGAATATTCTTTTTTGGTGTAAAATTTGGTGCAGAATTTGGTGCAATGGTTGGAGATGGTCTAAGCACTGAAATTTTCAGAAAAGTAGAGGGAAGTAGGAGACGTATCATCGATTGTAGAGTCTCATCTGAAATCTATCAAAATGTATTGATCAATGAAATTTCAGCTTCTCATAAGTCACCCCACAGATCTAGCACTGGAAATTTTCAAAAAAATAGAGAGAACAGAGAAGTAGGAGAATGGAATAAGCAAATGAATGTAGAGAGAGACAGAGATGAAGAAATGAATCTTCTCGATTCGTTCGTCTCTCATTTTAATATTATTATATTATCATTATCATTAATTAATATTATTATTATCATTAATTATTAATATTATCAATACTATTAATAATAATTATTATTACTATTAATTAATTATTATTATTATAGTGCATTTTCCAAGGTCAAATCAATATTAGTTCTGTTATTATTTTTATGAATCAAATTAATTAATTTTTTTTTTTTACCAAAACTATGTGGTCTAATGGTACTAGGGTAGGACTTTTATTTGGAAGGTTATGAGTTCGAGTCTCAGTGGAGGCGTTATTGGTTCTTTGTGTTTCGGTTGAGATAAATCAAATTACTATTAGTTGTAAATAAAAAAAAATTAATATTTTTTTTTTTGGTGAGATGAATCAAATTAATATTAGTTGTAGAAACTTAGCGATAAGATAAACAGTTGTGTATTATATCGAGTGTTATGTTAGATATACTTAAATATCATAGCATTTATTACGGAGTATATAATTTTGTAATCAATTTTGGAATAGTGAGTGTTCACGTTTTTTGTTACTTTAAAAGAGTAATCGTTTATTTTGTTTTTTTGTTTTTAATAGAAAATCAATGAACATGTACTGAATTTATCTCATCTAATTTTTTATTTTATTTTAAAAAGAACGATCTAAATTTAATAATTGTGTTTATAAAGCTTAGGAAAAATTATGAAAAAGATACAGATATTGTGATCGTTCTCTCCAATCTCCATTAAGGAAGGGCGTTGTGAATTCTAGAATAATGTCTTTGTCAAATTCAAGATCATTTTCTTCATCTTCATCCAACTTTACTAGGCGTAATTTTAAACTTGCAATATGAGCCCGCTTTGTATTGCAAATGTGGGTTGTAATCTCCGTTATGTGTAGCACGTGATAGTTAACAGAAATTCTTTGGTTGTCAGCAGTGGAAGGTTAGATTACAATTATTGATATAAAACAGTTAGGTATGTGGTTAATTTATATGAGTCTTTTGATATCAGAAAATGGTTTTGGATTTTTGGTATTTGTTGATGATATTTTGCTGAATGCTCAAGTTCAAGAAATCCCGGTTCTTTAAAAAACTACTTTTTCTTTTCGGTTCTCGAAAAATTATAAATTAAAGCGTTTTCACACAATTTATAATATAACAAGCATAAATTAAATATTTACAATTTATTTACCGTGCATCTCACGGGACAATTACTAGTGTATATATATATATATATATATATATATATATATATATATATATATATATTGTATTTTAACGCGTTGGGGTGGGTTACCAACATGTAGGGTTGCCACTTGGAGTGTTACCTCATACTGTTACATTTGGAGGGTTGCCAGTATTACCTGTTGGGTGTGACCAAGAATGCCACATTGAGTGCATCTTATTTTAGAGCGGTTATTGCCAAAACGAGGTTGAGTGACAGCGTTTGCACGACTATTGGTTGGTACCATATGAAAAGGATGTTGCTCACTAGTAGACTGTGTTGCAGCTTGTTGAGGAATTACTACTGTTTGGAAATTATTTGGCATTGGCGGAGTGAAAGATGTACCAGTATGAGGTTGAAAGTTGACTGGCATATTGGAGTTTTGTGTTGTAGACTGGAAAGCAGCAACATCTGTTGTCGGCTCAAGGTGGTCCATTGTGCGTTGTTTCTCATCTTGAAGTAGCAAGGCATAGGCACCTTTGACAGTTGGCAATACAGAATTGAGAAGAAGTTGGTTACGTGCTTGTGAATATGTTTCTCTTAGACCCATCAAAAATTGAAATAAGCGTCTGCGTTCCGTTTGAGTGGCATAATCAGTACGAGCAGAACATGAGCATTTAGGAGGAGGATCTAAGAGATTTAATTCATCCCAGAGGCAGAATAACATGGTATGGTAAGCGGCTATAAATGAATCATTTTGGCGGAACGTTGCGATACGCCGCTCAAGCTCAAAGATTCGGGGTCCGTTTGCCGTAAAAAAAACGGAATCAGACCAAACAGTAGCAGCATCTGGAGCATACAAAACAGTATGGGCAAGGGAGGGATCAACAGAATTGAGAATCCATGACATAACAGTATTATTTACCCGTTGCCATCTAGCATGATCAGGGTGGGAAGCTTCAGGTATGGCTAGAGTTCCGTCAACAAAGCAAAATTTAGTTCTGCCTCTTAAAGCCATCGTCATTGCCAAAGCCCAAGAATTATAATTTTCAATACCTACGAGAGGAGTGCCGACGAGGGAGGTTCCTGTGTCATCGGAAGAATGAAGGTAATATGGATTTTCTACATCGATATGAGTGGCGGAAGTGGTGGTGGTGGTGGTTGAAATTGATGGAGTTTCATCCATGGGAGAAGGTTGAGAATTCTGAACCATGTGATGAACTGGAGAGAAAAAAATTATAGAATATAGAGATTTGCTCTTGATACCATGTTAGACAATGAAAAAATATATTGTATATTGATTGTGTTTTATGAATGAAGGAACCTAAACATATATATACAATCTACTCAACGGTAACAAAGAAAATAAGGGTAAGGAAATCCTATGATTGACTAATCACATCACAATAATTAGGAAAGAATATTTACATATGGTAAAATAAATCTCTACAGATGGACTACATTAACAGTTCACTAATAATTGAGGGACCAAATCGTTGATTAACCCTTAAAACTAATACCGTAAAATATATGACTCGGAATGATTTTGTCATGTTAAATTAATTACATCCTAATTATTAAGAGAGAGAAGTGATTTGAAAAAAAAAACTGATGAATTTTATTGTTAATTATAATTTTCTTTTATTTCTTAAGAAACTAGGTCAAAAATAAATATTAAATCATCTAAAAATTGAGGCTCTGTGCTGTTGCTGCACGCCCTAAAATCCAGCCACGGAAAACCAATTGTTGTGCCATGGAACCGTGTTCACCATTCATGGTGAACACGGTCCCAACAGTAACGGTGCACTGTTATTTTTTTTTTTGCGCGACTTTTCTTCTTCATTTTCACATTTCGCGGTTTCACTTCCTCTTATCGCAAGTTTCTCCAACATTCATAAATTATAAATGTGTAGGCATGGATTTATGAATGTGCAGTTATAAAATTATGGATTTTCTTTTTTGAGATTATGATTTTTCTATTATGAGATTATGAATTTTCTGTTATGAAATTATGAATTTTCTATTATTAGATTATTGTTGTAATGTTGTTGTTTGTGCCCATTGGCCTATAGCTCCTAACCGGTGAGTTTCAGGATTGCATTAACAATAAGAAGTAATAGACAAAGAGAAGGGAGTGATATGATTTCATTTACATAGCTTCCTCTTACAAAAGGATTACACACATATATAATATAGAATAATAATGGCATACATAATGAGACATTAATATGTCTATTACAAACGTTACAAAATAATGGTCACCATTAATATTTAATTACAACACTCCCCCTTGGACATTATTTGTCCATAATCTTACCTCGTTAAAAACTTGCTAGGAAAATCCTGTGGGAAAAACCTATACAAGAAAAGAGTACAAGGTATAGTATATTTAAATATATTCATGCCTCGTTAAAAACTTCATTAGGAAAATCACATGGGAAAAACCTAGTTTGAAGAAAAGAGTACATGATATTTGTAAACTCATATATTGTACTGATTGCCTCGTTAAAAACCTTAACTTAAGAAAACCTCATGGGAAAAGCTTAGTTAAGGGGAAAAAGAGCACAATTATAAGCCTTTAAGGCATAATCTTCAGGATATTTGGGGTTTGTTTACTTAAGTCTTTATATACAACTTCCCCATTAATATATCATACTCATACCTCATTAAAAAAAACTACATGGTATGTATATGCTGCAAAAGGTATAACTATTAGTCATTTTAAAACCCAATCTACGGGATTGACTCGAGTGAATGTACTTCCTGTCTCCCCCTGAAGATAACAATCTTCAAATTCTACATTGCCTGTAAAATCATTGTTTTTAAAGGGTGTAGAGAAGGGATATGGTACAATTTTCAGGATTGTCATTAGAGTTTATCATATTTTCTCATGATCATCTGGACCAATAAAATTATTTATAGTTTATATTTTGTTGATCCCCCTAAATATAATAATTTTTCTTTACCTACACATATCAATCTTATAGATATTTTGTAGGTATACATTTGCTAACTTGTCACTGGAGCAAACCTTCTGAACAAATATTTTATCACTCTTCTGAAGTTCATGTGGATCAAGGTATTTTATATCATGAAAAACTATATACATTTTTATCTGTAACAAGTATGATGACTTCATGCCAAAAAGCATCAATACGAGTATTTTTACCTTGATTTTGCTATTCGTTATCTCATCTCATAACTTAATATCATCAAACTCTTTATATATTTCATTGATGTTTACACCATAAATATTGACTGAGATAATAGATAAGTCCATTATCAACTCTTTATTGAGCACATAATGGTACATATTATTCCTTCTATATGAGGATAATAACCTCATTGGCAACTCTCTAAAAAGTAAATAATGGCACTTAAATAAATCCTCATTTCGGGAATTATAAATCCATTAGGGATTTTCAAGATAAATTAGAGGATATATTTAGGATATTTTCAAGAGGAAACAATATTTGAGTTCCCCAATCACATATAACATTACTAGGCATGTTTATGATAATATATTTTCATACTTTGTTATGGGGGGAAAATACCTTTAGTCAATTTATATTGACTATAAGAAAGATCATAGTTAGTAACTTACTAACTTTTATATTTCTTATCTTGTGATTTTCATTCATCAAATTTTGACAAAATTCATATAACAAGTTACCCATATAAATATGTGATAACTATAACTATTAGCTACATATCTAATTTATTTACTGCTAGTTTTATTGAATAGCGGAATATAAAGCCATGACTAATATTGGGTCTCTGCGAAAACCCACCACTCGCCTTTTATTAGCGAATTCTGATTTGTATGCCTTAATTGCTATTTTCTATGAAAACAGTTAGCACGCTGCAGGCGTTATGCTACTGTTTTCATTTCTGGATCCAGATTTAAGTATTTATGAGCAATAGAGGCAAAAAATGTTGTCGACAACTATAAGAGCTTTGTAAATATCTTTTATACACATGGCAATTTTGTATCAACCAAATATATGGCATTTCCCAAGATTATTTGAATTTGGTTGTTCCGCTTCCCCAGTATTTTAGTTGTTTGGTGCACCTACAATTTTACTGGGGGTTTTCTCCTTCTAGACGAATATCTTCAGGATAAAATTTCTGTATTTCTGGAGTGACGAAATTTCTATACTAGATCTAGTTTTGTAAATTCTTAAACCAATATATGCTTCATGCATAATGGTAGAAATATTTAGTCCTAGTTGGGGATTTCAACTCTTAATATATATGAAATATTTTTTATGGACTTAGTCACTCTTTGAGATTTCTAGCAGATAATTTGTTCAATGTCTGAACTTCTGGTTCTATAAGGCTAGTACATAAGATTTTTATCAATTTCTTGGCATTTAATTAATTAAAATTTTCAAATCTCCCCCTAATGCCGAGAAAAGATCTTATAATGCAACCAACATCACTGTTGATTTCTCATGATGGGATATAGCTAGAAGGGTTGCATACTAAAAAAATGAACGCAGATAGGGAAATGCATCATGTACTAGCGTATGTGATATGTAGTGGATCAGCATATTTGTTTTTCAATTTTGAAGGTCCCCAAAAAAACATATTTCCTCCAAAATTATATAATTTGCTTTCCGAATAAAGCTCTATTAAGATTTAGAGCTTTAAAAAATATGATATTGTGTATCTTAAATAAGTGTTTCATGACAATTAGAGAAACAAGTAGAGTACTCAACATACAATGAAGTGAACTCATCACGATAACATATCATAATTTTCGTCTATTTATCATGCTTTCTAAAAAAAATTAAGCATCAATTTGGATGCATGGCATGTGTGATACTAAATATGTTTTCTTGTGAATCAACAATATGCATACTTTACAGATAAATTATACGGATGCATTCAGATTGCAATTGTGAATCCACAAAATGCATAC